TACATGATAAACAAGTCTAGTTTAAAGGGACAACTAAAGATAACAATTTTCTGTATTTATAACATGATAAATACTCCCTTTCGTAGTATGAATGTATTTGTTGTAAGATAGATACATGTTTTTATTTTGTGTATGTTATTTATTGGGAAGCAAATAAAGAATACCAAATATATAACTTTTGTGGATGTGATGGAGAGCAGTATCAACCATGGGTCTTGATAAAAAGGTCTAAGAAAAACCTCTCGAAGAAGATCCCACATCCCTCCATAATGTAGCTAATTTAGGGCGTCCACAACAAATATGACGGTAGGACTTGGGATATATTGATGCACCCTTACCCCTCAGGATTGGCCTAGAAACTGAGTGGAACCAAACATTCTAAATAATTTTTAATAAAACTAAAAGCATTGTAATGTATTTTGAGAGGCAAACTGAATTTGCCATTTGATTACTTAATGTTCTCTTGGCACAGAAGTAAGAATTAAATAGTGCTAAATGAACTAAAGTGTATTTCATCTGCATTGTGAATATATATAATAAAAAATGAATGTGATAAAAAAATAAATAAAAGGAAATACTGTGTCATAACTAAACAATTAAAGGACCACTATAGTGCCAGGAAAACAAACTCGTTTTCCTGGCACTATAGTGCCCTGAGGGTGCCCACACCCTCAGGGTCCCACTGCCGCCGGGCTCCCTCAGCGCTGGGGACTCTCCTCCCTCTTCTGACGTCATCGGCTAAATGCGCATGCGCGGCAAGAGCCACGCGCATTCAGCCAGTCCATAGGAAAGCATTCTCAATGCTTTCCTATGGACGCTGGCGTCTTCTCACTGTGAAAATCACAGTGAGAAGCGCGGAAGCGCCTCTAGCGGCTGTCAATGAGACAGCCACTCAAGCCTCTCCATGTGTCTCATTTCCCCAGCCCCTCATGTGTCTCATTCTCCCAGCCCCTCATGTGTCTCATTCCTGCAATCTCCCACATGTCTCATTTCCTCTACTCCCTTCCCCATGTGTCTTACCTGCCAGTGTTAATTTTGGCAGCAAATTTCAATTTAGTTTTTGTCATACTCTTTTGACTAAAAAGCCATTTTAGTTTTAGTCATATTTTAGTCATCTAAATTGTTTACTCGACTAAATCTCCAAAATTTTAGTTAACTAA